AAAGGCTTGAAATAAAAACCATGGCCCCTCCTCTTTTCCCCTGCCGGTGGAGCTAAACTTCTTTGCACCAAAGCGCTCCAGGAAGGCGTCCTTTGCAGTGACCCAAAGTGTTCTTGAGGAACAGAAGCAGGACCCAAACTGCCATAAGGGAGGCACAGCCCTGCAGCCTGGCCTCAGTCTTCTCTCCAGATTCGCCCCTCGTCACCAGATTAGAACTGCTTAACACCCCCCCACACACACACACACACCGCGTACTTGAGAAGTGGATGCTAAAACAGGAGACTGTCCAAGCCTCCTTCTCTTAGTTTCCCCTGCCTCTGTTCTTCCTAAGTTCCTCTTTTCTCAGGGGATTCTTGGCCCTTTTTTAGGATGCCACTTCCCCTTGCAGCTTGTGGCCTGCCCTTAAAATATTGGTATTCATTGGAATTCTGTTCTTAGCCTCTTCTGTGTTTTGCCCACTCCTTCTGGGTTTTTTTTTCCCCCATTTTACGCACTCTTCCTGGGTATTTTTATTCTTACTCACCTTCAACTGCTGAAGAGCTTTAAATGTACATTTCCAGGGGCGCCTGGGTGGCGCAGTCGGTTAAGCGTCCGACTTCAGCCAGGTCACGATCTCGCGGTCCGTAAGTTCGAGCCCCGCGTCAGGCTCTGGGCTGATGGCTCGGAGCCTGGAGCCTGTTTCCGATTCTGTGTCTCCCTCTCTCTCTGGCCCTCCCCCGTTCATGCTGTGTCTCTCTCTGTCCCAAAAATAAATAAACGTTGAAAAAAAAATTTAAAAAAAAACAAATGTACATTTCCAGACCAGGCTCTGTAAAAGACCCAACTCAGTATTTTCAGCTGTGTAATGGACATATTCCCCTGTGAATCCTGCAGACACTTGAAATTTAACGTGTTGAACACTGACTCTGTTCCTACGATAGTCTTTGTTAATAGAAGTGCTCTGTTGGCCATCAGGACACCCCAGCCTCCCTGCCTCACACCGCACATCCAGCCAGTGTTCTGAAGTGTCTTGCTTTTGTCTCTATCCCCATTGTGATTATACTGTTTAGATTGTCACCATCTCTGTTTTTTCTTTGGCCAGCTCACTCCTCACTGTCACCAGCGTGTTCTTCCTAAAGTGCAAATGCCTTTGCATTCCTCCTTTTTACATTTTTCTCATTATTCCCTTCAGGACATGGTCCAAGTTCCTTAGCATGCCGAATAAGCCCCTTCATAACCTGACTGGTCCAGGCTTTTTGGTCTAGCCTTTTTTTCATCTATTTGCTCTTCCTTCAAAATATTAAAGCGAGGACCTTGAAAACCTAGAACAAAACACTTTCCATTAAAAAAACAAGCAAAGGATGGTGCCTGGGTGGCTCAGTTGGTTGAGCGCTGGACTCTTGATTTTGGCTAGCATCATGATCTTATGGGTTTGGGAGATGAGCCCAGCATCAGGCTCTGCTCTGACAACGAGAAGCCTGCTTGGGATTCCCTCTCTCTCCCTCTCTCTCTCTCCTCCCCCCACCCCCACTCATGCTCTCTCTCTCTTTCAAAATAAACTTAAGAGAATAAATAAAAAATTAAAAAAACAGGCAAAGGTTTAATTATTACAAATTCAAAAGTTAGTTCTTTCTAAAATTGTCAAGTTCAGCTTACAAATTTTATTATTCTAAGCCTAGCATATTTTACCAATCACTTTTCAGAAACTTTGAATACTTTTTGGTCCCATTTACAAACTTAGTTAATTCAACATCTCCAATCATTTAAAATTATGTCTATAAACTTAATTTATTTGGTTTCCCATTTAATTTATTCAGTTTTCTAACCTAGAAAATTTTCAAGGCTTAGCAATTCTTATAAATTAAATAAACTTACAAAAAATGAATCTAAATTTCTCTTAGATAGCCCAGTTCCACGTGCAAACTTAGTAAGATATCAACTCACAATCTTAAGTCTAAAACTAATCCAGTAGACATATAAGACTGTCACTCTAATAAGCCAAATTTTCTTAAACATTCCAAGTGCATAAAATGTGAAATATGCACATATTTCTTCTTTAATGTTTACTTTTTTTGAGAGAGAGAGAGAGAGAGAGAGAGAAAGAGCGTGAGATGGAGAGAGACAGAGAGAAAGGGAGACAGTATCTGAAGCAGGCTCCAGGCTCTGAGCTGTCAGCACAGAACCTGATGCAGGGCTTGAACTCACGAACTGTGAGATCATGATTTGAGCTGAAGTCAGACACTCAACTGACCAAGACACCCAGGTGCCCCTGCACATATTTCTTCTTAACCCCAACATATTAGTCCCATAGTTTTTACCCCACTAAGCTTTTCTGTACTAATTTTAAAGCTTCTCTGAGTTGAAAGGTACATAGCTGCTAAGAAAGTTTCCAACCTAGTTAATTAAGATTACTTTTTAAATTTATTTTATTTTATTTTATTTTTGAGAGAGAGAGAGAGATAAAGAGAGAGAGAGAGAGAGAGAATGAGCAGAGGAGGGGTAGAGAAAGATAATCCCAAGCAGACTCCACTGTGAGCACAGAGCCTGACACGGGGCTTGAACTCACAAACCTTAGATCATGACCTGAGCCAAAATCAAGTGTTGGACCCTTAACCTGCTGAGTCACCCAGACACCCCTATTTTATTTTATTTTAGTGAAAGAGTGCACCACCCAGGCCTGCGAGCAAGGGAGAGGCAGAGAGAGAGAGAGAGAGAGAGAGAGAGAGAGAGAGAATCCCAAGCAGGCTCCCCACCCAGCTCAGAGCCCCTTGAGGGGCCGGATCCCACAACCGTAGGATCACGACCTGAGCCGAAATCAAGAGTTGCTCGCTCAACCAACTGAGCCACCCCAGGAGCCCCAAGATTACTTTTGATCAGAGATTTCCATTAGATATAACTCCTGGAGCTTCAGACTTTCAGAACCATTTTTCTCATTGGGCCAACTGTCACTTTGAGCTGTTTTCTATATTATGTCATAGATTTGAAAACTTGTTATCTATTCCTCTGACTACCCTTAGAAACCAGCAAGTCCTATCCAGTTTACCTTTGGATTTTATTTTCTATGTCTTGGCTTTTAAAACACTTACCTATGTTTTCATTTTAATTCTAAAGACCTTTGGAATGGATGGAATCCAAATACATAAATGTGTTTTATCTCTAATGATAAAGGTTATGAACCTAATATGCTCAGGCATTTTTTTTTTTTAAGTAAACTCTAGGTCCAGGTGGGGCTCGAATTCATGACCCCAAAAACCAAGAATTGCATGCTCTGCCCACTGAGCCAACAAGACACCCCCTGTGAGTCCTTTCTTATTCCTAGAAACATGCAATTCTAACAGGTATTTAAATCAATCTCCCATTGAATTTCAGATATCTCACATAGCTTTATCTGATGTTCACAAATTAAGCCATTCTTCATAATTATACTAACTGAAAGCTACTGAGGCTTTACGAGACTAAGTGTTTTGTATTTATTTTCTTTTCTGAACTTCCTGATAATTCTACAAAGTAAGAACTCCTAGGGGTGCCAGCTGGCTCACTCAGTAGAGTAGAACTTACTTTAAAAAAAAAAAAAAAAGGAAGAAAGAAAGAAAAGGAAAGGAAAGGAAAGAACTATTATTATCTCTAATTTACAGATGAGCAGTGGAGAACTAAGTAATTCAACTGAAGCCACGTAGTAAGAGGCAGAGCTGGAACTCAAACCCCAAGTCTAATGACAAAGCCCCCATGCCTGGTCAATAAACCTGAGATTCAGGGAAATGCACATGAAGACCATCCTTGGCCACTTAGTACTTCTCACCTATCAGAGTAGCAATATTTTATTTGTTTTCATTGATACTGTTGGCAAAAAGTGACAAAGCAACCACTCTCCTACACAGCTGCTTGGGCTGTAAATTAATACAATCTTTCTGAAGTCCAAATTGGCATTAGGCAGCTACCCTTCAACCAAGGAATTCTTCTCTTGAAATTTATCAAAATGAAACTATTTTCTTTCTTTCCTGCCCTTTTTAAGTAAGCTCTGCCCCAATATGGGGCTGGTACTCACAACCCCAAGATCAAGAGTCACGTGCTTTACTGACTCAGCCAGCCAGATGCCCCATAGTGAAAATACTTTTAAGGTGCAAAAATTAGCAATAAATACGCTTATGGAAATGTCTTAAATGCCCATCATTAGGCTTTGAAATCAGCAATGGCACCTCCACACAATGAAATGCTAGACACCCCTAACAGCGATAACCTGTGGTTCTGGTCACGTTTGACTGGCTACCAGGAATATATATATGGACTAGAACTGCAGCAAGAGAAAAACAGGACTCGTGGAAGGCTGAAGGCATGGCTCTGTTCCTCTGAGCAACTCTGCTTCTCTACAGGTCTGCTCTTACCACCCCCCCCTCCTCTTTTTGACAACCAGCCTCCTCCATTCTAGTTTTTTCTGCTCCTTCACAACTATGACTTCTATTTGTTTGGCTTCCCATGGCCTTAATTCAAAGCCATGACATCCTTACGGCATCAGCTCCTTTGAGGATAGTCTCAGTTGCCCAATTCCATAACCCAGTGGCATGATTGGCCCAGCTCATCTTTCCACCTCCCAGGTATGCCTCTGATCGCCCACAGGTAGGCTGCCCTTCAATCAGATGCCAATCCTTTGGTTCATTTAGCTGCGGTCGGGAGATACAGCCAACTAAGGATAGAAAACTAAGAGCTGGGCAATGTTTCCTTCAATGGGAGGCTGGCTAGGCAATGCTGTCAATCTTTTGGTGACTCGTATTTTTTTTAATTCTTCTTCTTTTTTTTTAATGTTTGTGTATTGTGGAGACAGAGAGTGTGCGTGCCCACATGCTTTGGAGGGTCGGAGACAGAGGACAGAGAGAGAGACTACCCCAAGCAGGTTCAGCACTGTCAGCACAGAGCCTGATAACAGAGCTTGATCTCACTAACAGTGAGATCGTGATCTGAAACAACATGGAGTCTGATGTTTGACTGACTGAGCCACCCAGGTGCCCCTGATGGTGGGTATTTCTAATATTTCTAATATGATGCCTAAATGAAAATAACAAATTGCAAACCAATAAATATATTATGATACCATTTTTGCTTTAGAAGCATAGAAATAAGAGCACCTGGGTGGCTCGGTTAAGTGTCTGACTTCAGCTCAGGTCATGATCTCACCATCGGTGAGTTAAAGCCCCACACTGGGCTCTGTGCTGACAGCTCAGAGCCTGGAACCTACTCCGAATTCTGTCTCCCTCTCTCTCTGCCCCTCCCTGCTCACACTCTGTCTTTCTCTCTCAAAGATAAATAAAACATTAAAATATGTTTTTAAAAAGTATAGAAATAAATACATATAGATGTGCATATGAATAGAAAAAAAGAGCCTTGAAGCATACACATCAATATATTAACAGTAGTTTCTCCAGGTAGTGGAGTTACAATGGATTTTGTGGAATTTGTTTATTTGCTTTTTTTCTATTAACCAAGTTTTCTACGATGAGGTACTCAAAATACTCTTTTGTCAGTAAGAATAAATATGAATAAAGTTAGTAACTATGAAATAAATGAATTAAAATTAAATTACCACAGATGTTGGCAAGGATGCAGAGAAAGGGAAGCCTTGTGCACTTCTGGTGGGAATGCAAACTGGTGCAGCCACTCTGGAAACAGGATGGAGGTTCCTCAAAAAATTAAAAATAGAACGACCCTACAACCCAGGAATTGCACTATTAGGTATTTATCCAAAGGATACAAAAATGCTGATTTGAAGGGACCCATGCACCCCCATTTTGTAGCAGCGTTATCGACAATAGCCAATTTACGGAAAGAGCCCAAACGTCCATCGGCTGACAAGTGGATAAAGAAGATGTGGTATATATGCAAATGGAATACTACTCGGCGATCAAAAAGAATGAAATCTTGCCATCTACAAGAACGCGGATGGAACCAGAGTGTATTATGCTGAGTGAAATAAGTCATGCAGAGAAAGACAAATCGATTTCACTCCTGTGTGGAATTGAAGAAACACAACAGATGAACGTAGGGGAAGGGGTGGAAAACTAAGATAAGAACAGAGAGGGAGGCAAACCATAAGAGACTCAAATACAGAGAACAAATTGAGGGTTGCTGCAGTGGAGGCAGGTGGGAGGACAGGGGATGGGCACTGAGGACAGGTGGCTGATGGGCACGAAGGAGGGCACCTGTTGGGATGAGCACTGTGTGTTGTATGTAAGTGATGAATCACCGGGTTCTACTCCTGAAACCAATACTACGTGGTATGTTAACTAACTTGAAATCAAATTTAAAAAAATAATAAATTACAAAATAATTAGCCAAATGGCCATTTTGGGAGATAAAATTGGTTCATACGCTCAAGGAATTTATAGACTCCTGGGAATGGAGTAATATTAACAGGACAGATTCAGATAAGCACCATAATAGAAGTTTCTCTTGACCTGGAATACCTTTAACCCCCTTATCTGCCTGGGAAACTGCTACTCAACTTCCCAGACCTAACTTACATGTCACCTCCTCCCCCCAGGCAAAATTAATCACTTCCTCATTCATTTCCCAGAAGGACTCTAGAAACCACACGTCTTCACAAAGAACTCCCAAGTTTTTCACATTTTAATACTTCTGAAATCAGGATAGGACTTACAATCAGTCATTTAAAAAACCAAAACACAGGGACACCTGGGTGGTTCCGTCGGTTAAGTGACTGACTTCGGCTCAGGCCATGATCCCGCAGTTCATGAGTTTGAGCCCCACACTGGGCTTTGCAGTGACAGTACACAGCCCGCTTTGGATTCTCAGTCTCTCTCTCTCTCTCTCTCTCTCTCTCCCAGCCCATGCTGTCTCTCTCAAAAATAACTAAACATTTAAAAAAATAATAAAAAACAAAACAAAACAACAACAAAAAACTAGCCAGCTACCAGTATAAGAAGTAGATGAGAAAGTAACATAATTATCATTGCTTGCAGATGTGCAATCTTAATTAATTTCTCAGAAAGGATCAAAGAACTGTCAGTGCCAGAATTAATGACAGATCCACTCTTTCGGAATAGTTAAATGGATCCAAATAAAGTTAGACTCTTCACAAAAAGCTTGGCTCCAACTTTGGTTTAGAGAAGAGGCTAAGTAAGTAATTCCAGGGATAAATGTATGCTGTTGTGGATCAAGTTTTTTAAAACATACATTTGATAGGATAGTCTGATGATGATGATATAAACTCTACCCCCAAGGTGGGGCTCAAAAATCATGACCCCCAGATCAAGAGTCACATGCTCTACCAACGCCCCTAGGCGCCCCCAGGATATTCTAAATGTCCCAAAAGGCTGTTGGAATTTGGTGATGCAATCCCACAAGCAAAGGTGTCTTTGATTCCAGGAAGTCTGCAACCTTATATGAGTCCATTATAGCACTTAGCTCATGGAATTACAATTAGTTATTTACTTATCCGTCTTCCCAAACAGACCATTAACTCCTCAAAGACAGACATTTGGGTAACTAAACTCAGCATGAATAGTTAACAAACGTGACATCTTTACTGTTGGAATTTTAAGATTTGCTTTTTATTCATTTATTGATGGATTCCCAGGGACAGACAGGAACACATTTAACTGCTTTGGTCCCTTAAGTTGTATGAGAGCTCACAGGGTTTTAGATACCAGCATCTTCTGAAAGAGGCTGGAAATCTGAGGCTATAGCTCCTCAACACTTTTAAAGGTCACGTGTCACAGGATGCTTGGGTGGCTCAGGCAGTTAAGTGTCTGACTTTGGCTCTCAAGTCATGATCTTGCAGTTCATGAGTTCAAGCCCCACATCGGACTCTCTGCTGTCAGCACAGAGCTCACTTCGGATCCTCTGTCCCCCTCTCTCTCTGTCTCCCCTTCTCTCTGCCCCTCACATGCTTGCACTCTCTTAAGAATAAATAAACATTATAGGGCATCTGTGTGGCTTAGTCAAACATCTGACTTCTGCTCAGGTCATGATCTCACTGTTCACAAGTTCAAGCTCTGTGTCAGGCTCTGTGTTGACTGCTCAGAGCCTGGAACCTGCTTTGGATTCTGTGTCTCCCTTTCTCTCTGTCCCTCCCCTGCTCTCTCTCTCTCTCTCTCTCTCTCTCTCTCGTAAATAAAT